ACTGTTTTGAAAATTTTTTTTCTAAACAGACTCTTTTTTAAGGCCTATATTATCATCTCCTTAACCCACCCTCCCCCGAACCCCCTCTCTACACACACAATTCACCATTTAATTGCCTTGTTGCTTTAGCTTCCTGGAGACACAGCCACAGAGTTAAATATAGCTCTGTCCTTCCCAACAAGCAATCCTTTAAAGGAGCTAAATTGCCTTGCTTTTTCACTTCTTACCAAAACTTGATCTCAAGCTTTATAAAAGAGAAAAACTAAAGGCCTTCTACCATAGAATGTTTAGCAATTGACATGTTGTCCATTGCTTGAGAGGTTTTGTGTACTGCCACTTAATCCTTGTTTCAGTTACAACCCCTGTAGGGAAATTTGAGTCCTGTACACGAGTTCTTCATTTATTTCTGAGCCAAGATAATTCTAGGATTACCATTTAGAAAATTGGGAGAACAGACTTTTGCACAGTTACCAGGCAGACGGTATTGAAAAAAAGGGGGCATGTAGACTACCTTTTTGGTGACAAGGTTAGGGATAGGTATTGTGGTTAAATCCCATTAGCAAGAACATTACACTCATTAAGTGAATGCTAGAATGTGAACCAAGAAGCCTTCCTCTTCCCCACCCTGCCCCACCCCCATTTCTTCTTCTCCTCCTAATGGCATGCCCCTTCAATACCGGGGATTCCCTGCCCAGGAAATGCCTCTCCAGAGTAAATCACAGAGTACGCCCATGCCAAGTCCCTCCAAAGCCAGAGCGCCCTGCCTAGGACACATGCCATTCTCCAAAAATCTACCAGTAGACACGATTCATAAGCCGTCTCTCTCTTATTTCTTGGGTGACCTTTAGGGTTCAGAAAGTATTCCTTTGTGTTAAAGCAAACACAAACTATTCTGCCAGCATAGTTCAAGAATTTAAAGATTCTATTAATCTGATGTCTTAATTGTTATTGAGAAGAGGAAACAGGAGTGCCTTTGTGTCCCGAATGACCACATGCTTCTAAAAAGTGGCCCACAGTGTTGGAGTTTGCATCTCAAGTTGCAGGCAGCTCTGTATGAAGTGGAACTTCAGTGTAACTAATTCCCAGACATTAAAAGGGGTAGGGAAAGAACAGAAAGCTGGGCAAACCCGAAGCGGGCTGCAGCAGGGCAAACTGAAGGAGCCCTGCTCCTGGACCTCCCTGCATTCCAAAGACCAGTTTAAAATAATGATGATAAATGTGGATTTCACTACACAACATATGCATGTAAGAAACCTGCACTTGTACCCCCTAAATCTGTACAAATAAAAATAAAATTTCAAAGAAATCCAGATAGAGGGATTGCTTATAAATACTACCTCGGAACAGCAGTTCATGAGACATTTCACAGTATCCTCTCTCACTTTGGATATTCACATGAAAAAAATACATTTTATTTGATAGGTCAAAATGGGTAAGATAAATAATTAAATGTGTCTTTCAAAACTAAAGGTGCTAAGCAGGACACACCAAATAGAAAAACACACACTCACGCAATGCTGAACAACAACATGCAATCAAAGGAGAAAGAAAAAAACTCACATGGATGAGAATATAAAAATCATTGTTATTCAATAATAGCATTCTGTGTGCCTACTCTGTGCAAGGTATTGAGAGTCCAGGCATAGGAAAAAGAAGTAAGATTTAGCTCCTGTTTCCCAAGCATTTACCTTCTATTAGGAGAGAATAAATCAAGTATAGAAACATCTACGATACAGGCTGAATACGATAAATGCCCCAAGAGGAAGAGCACATCTAGCTTGGCTGAGAAAGAGGTATATGGAACTAAAAATAGCTCCATGGACAGGGTAGCATTTGAAATGGACCTCAAAAAAACAGTTAAAAAAAATGCAGCTTAAAAAAATGATAGAACAAACATTCTGATTGAAGAAATAAAATGAGCTAAAATAGGAGAGCAGAGTGATATAAAGAATTTAGAGGAGGCCGGGCGTGGTGGCTCACGTCTATAATCCCAGCACTTTGAGAGGCCAAGGCAGGCGGATCACCTGAGGTTGGGAGTTCGAGACCAGCCTGAACAACATGGAGAAACCACGTCTCTACTAAAAATACAAAATTAGCCAGGTGTGGTGGCACATGCTTGTAATCCCAGCTACTCGGGAGGCTGTGGCAGGAGAATTGCTTGAACTTGGGAGGCGGAGGTTGCCGTGAGCTGAACTCACACCACTGCACTCCAGCCTGGGCGACACAGCGAGACTGCATCTCAAAAAAAAAAAAAAAAGAATTTAGAGGGAAATAAGCAATATTCTGTATTAAGCATAGGATATTTAGGAGTTTAGTGGAAGATAAACAAAAAGACACTGTGGGTGGCTTGAAAAAAGAGTGGTTTACCCTGGATTCAGGAGAAAACTAGTTACTGACTGTTTTTGAGCCCTGAAATAATGTGATCAGAGATGATTATTATGAAGAAGAATACAGTGGTATGCAAAGCTACATAGGATTATTTTTTGGAGCAGGGACCCTGGTTTAAGGAGGAGCCACTCACTCATTCCTTCATTCAACAGAAATTAATTGAATACTTACTGTGTGCCAATCCACAGTCCAATGTAATCTACCTGGGATGCAAAGCTTATCGTTTATGAACTATACATTTTAAAAGCAGAATCTATAGGACTTGGGAACTTACAGAAGAAAGTGAGGTAGACTCCAAGTTTTTGGGGCCAAAAACAATGGCAGAATGGGATGGGGTGGGTTAGGTACGGAAATAGAAAAGTCAGGACAGGAAATGGTTGGAAGGTGCAGACAGAGCTGGAGTGGGTGCAGGTGTTGATTTGTACTTCACTCTCACTCTGCACTCGCCTGCAGAGTGCAGCCAGCAGCTGGAAGAGATTGACAGGAGATGGCAGAGGAAAGAGGAACAGAGAAGTCAGAGCTTAAAGAATGCCCATATCAAAAAAAGAAAAGCCCTAGGGAGACAGAGGGGAAGATAGCCTGAAAGGAGAAGTTGATGTTTTTTGAGTTTTCTAGAACAGAGGTCTCCAACTCCGGCCTGCGGACCAGTACCAATCCGTGGCCTGTTAGGAACCGGGCCCCAGAAGGAGGTGAGCAGTGGGCGAGGGAGCATTACTTTGGATCATGCTTCCTGTCAGATCAGCAGTGGCATTAGATTCTCATAGGAGCCGACCCCTATTGTGAACTGCTCACACCAGGGATCTAGGTTAGGTGCTCCTTATGAGAATCTAATGTCTGATGATCTGAGGTGGAATAGTGTCATCCCAAAATGATCCCCACAACCCTGTCCATGGAAAAATCATCTTCCACAAAACCGGTTCCTGGTGCCAAAAAGGATGGGGACCACTGTTCTAGAAGACAGTAAGAGTTAAACAGTGAGCAATTTAAATTTTTCAACTATCGCTGATAAAAGTGTAAAAGTCCAAAAAAAATCTATGTTGCCAAGTTCAAAGTGTTAGGAATTGATCCAGGTGGTCCCACTTCAGCAGATACAACACGGCAGTCTCCCCTTGTCCTTGAGGGACACCCTGGAAGACGCTGGGTGGATTCCTGAAACTGAAGACAGCACCAAGCCCTATACATACTGTGCACGTATTTCTCTTTCCTTCTTCACAATTTTGTAGATAATATATTCACTCTTATTGTAGATCTCAGCAACCTCAGGGTACTTTTTCTTTTCTTATTAAGTCCAGAACTTTCACCTTTTCATTTAGAGGAAGCACTTTGCGGCTTCTCTTTGGTATATCTGAATTGCCAGCATCACTATACTTGTACTTTGGGACCATTACCGTGCAAAATAAGAAATACTTGAAGACAAGCACTGTGACACTGTGATAGTCAATATGGTAACAGAGATGGCTCCTAAGTGACTACGGGGAGGGGTGGGCTTACAGCGTGGATCTGCTAGACAAAGGGTACAATTCACAGGCCAGGTGAGACAGAGCAGGATGGCAGAAGATTTCATCTATTCAGAACAGTGTGAAATTTAAAACTCAGGAATTGTTTATTTCTGGAATTTTCTACTGAATATTTTTAGACTGCGATTGACCACAGGTAGCTGAAACCGTGGAAAGCAAAACTGCGGATAAAGGGGACTGAGTCTGTACTAGGAATCGGCCAAAATTTATAAAGCATTTTTTTTCTTTCCCCCTTCCTCCTAGGAGGAGGAAGTACCAAATTATAGTAGTCTTTATAGAGAAGTGCTTCATAAATAACTGCCAACAGCAATCAATGTATTATCCCTTTGGGTCAATCACTTCTTGGAGGTTAAAAGATCATACACACATCTTCCCTACCATTTCTAGATTTGTATTAATAAATAAGCCAAGTCAGTGAACTCTCTCTCTCACCTGCTATTGCTTCATATCTTCCTGAAGCAAAAGAAAGAAAGAAAGAAAGAAAGAAAGAAAGAAAGAAAGAAAGAAAGAAAGAAAGAAAGAAAGAAAGAAAGAAAGGAAGGAAGGAAGGAAGGAAGGAAGGAAGGAAGGAAGGAAGGAAGGGAGGGAAAGAAAGGGAAAGAAGGAGTTTGATTGTTTGATAGGAACATACCACGCTTGAGACTTCCCCTCATGAAACATGGATGCACAGTTTTGGCCGAAATTAAAATTGCTAAACTGTGTTTGAGGTTGTCAGAGGAAGTGGTACAGAATTTACTAAGACAGGCTGGGAGTGGAAAAAAAATTATAACCCAGGTGCCTCACCTTTTCCTCCACTGGTTGCTTTTCCCCCTATGCACTGACGCCTGGGAGCTTATTTACTGAGTCAATTAACAAAAGATAACCTCCCATTGTGCAACCATCAATAAATCAATCGTGTTAATACTATCTTGGAATGTCCCCGACTATTGACTTTCATATTGTTTACATTAGCCACTTGAGAAAGCCAGAACCCTTGAGTCAGCCTGTTTGGGCGTTAATGGGTTCTGGAGTAGCCATTACTACGTATAAGTCTCTTTACAAAATATTTAAGTTTCTCTGAGGTTGACCTGCTTTCTGAACATTGACGGTGCACTCTCCTCCCTCCCCACACGATCCTGCAGCACCAAGCTTGATGAATACTTAGGAAGGCAAACCATCATGATCAGTAATGGAGCAGTCACTTAGGGTACACCTATTTCTTTGTGATTTGAATAATCTATTTCCACCCACCCCAGCCCCACACTGTCAACCACCTTCAACAATCCGGGGAATCAAGTTAATCTTCAATTATGTGAAAGAATTTCAGGAACGAGTGCAGCTCAAGTTACCAAGTAACTTACTGTTGTGAAAAGATTCATACCGCAAGCTGCCTAAATGCAGGGCTTTTAATGATGTTCCCCGCCAACAAGGTAAGAAAAATCTTTCCAGGCAGTGATAATCTCTACATAGGGAACCTCCAAAACTTCTCAAGCTATCTTTAAAAGGAATGCAACAAAACAAAATCTTTCTATATTTTCTCCGTACATATTATAAAAAATAAGATTGAATATCATAATCATAATTATAAAGTTGGGTTTAGTGGTTTTTTTTTTTTTTTTTTGGTGTCATTAGCATTTCCTTCTTAATGGCATCAGAAATACTTAGAGAACAGGTTTTCTCTTAGAAGTCACAACTGCTCTGCTTCCAGTCCTAGGTAGTTTGCTAAAGCGTTCTATGCAGAGGGATTAAAAAGGAAGGTTGGGGGGCGGGGAATTGGGACACCAGTCCAGGGACTACAGAAGGTTCAGATTTCAGTGCTGGCTGCAGACCTGGGCAAAGTTCACTGCTCCCTTTTCACGACATGCTACATACTTTTCAAGTTCCCACTTGCTTCTTAGAGAGGAAAAAATGTGGCCTCCGAGTTCAGGTTGCTAGGGACAAGCTGAGCCAATTTAACCATGCATTCCTTTTCTAAAAGATAGGCTGGGTTGTTGTTGTTTTTTCACTGTAAATACCAGAAAGTCTTGATCCTCCCTACTCTAAACAAATACTTTTGCTACAACTTTGAAGTCATCTATCTCCCACGGTGAAAAACCAAGGATTGCATTCAGTAGCCTTTTCCTGCCTAAGTTTAGACAGAATTGAATAGTATTCTACTTTGTAGCACATCCTCTTATCAGACACCGGGCTTCGTTTTTCCTCTTGATAATGATGGGTATTTAAAATGCATATGACTATTGGATAATACAACTCCCACTGTTCAAAGGCTTTTTTTTTTTTTTTTTTTTTTTGCTTTGGCCTCATGATATATATGTCTACTTTGGGTGTTTTGAAGAGAGTGAAGGAAACAGACAGGACTTTGAAAGGAAAAACAGACATCTAATTGGCTGTCTCTTGCCGACCCTCCAGTGACCCTGCACTGAATACCTCTAATGGACATGTGTGATCTTGGAGCCTCTACTGCGATAAACAAGTTTTAGACTTTCAACTTGTTTTTGCAGCAGAATTCTTTATTCTCCTTAAAATTGATTAAAAAAAAAAAATTGAGTGAGCAAGGCATTAGCATAGGTATTTTATACAAAAGGGTGAAATGGTTTTCTAATTTTATAGATATAATATTTTTTAAAAGAATTCGGCTTCATTATGAATTTAGTTCATGTTACTGTGTCATTTTACATACTCTAAAAAGTGGGGTTTTTTTTTAATATGGAAAGCAAGTATTTACCTTCAAAGCAGTAGTTACTAAATTCAAAAAGTTCAGAAAGTCAGTTAGGAGGCAATAATCTTAACTCCAAAAATTAATAACTCTCATGACATTGTTTATGTGAAACCTTGGAACTTCCTGTGCTGTAAACCATCTTTGAGTCAAGCTAGAAAATAGTAACAGTCAACTCAAATCCTTTATGCTTCAAAAAACACATGAGACTGTTGAACAGGCTACATTAAGTAATGTGGGGGTTAATGGGGAAAGCCCCCATTTCTACTTTCGTCAAAAGACTAGGAGACTCAGCCCCATCAGAGAGCTTTGCATTTCCCCTGCCACCTTAACTTCATGGGAACTGCCAGGGTACACTACCTCCTTTCTTTTCTTTCCCTTTTCACTATCTAGCATTTCTTCCCTTCTATTGTTCTTTCTTCACGTCCATGTTGACCTTTTTTTTTTAACTTATCATCTAGGATCAATCAAGGCCTGCCTTGATGTTGCTCTGTGTCTTAACAGCAATTCTTCCTGGAATTGTCTGCTCACATGGATGTCTAAATGTTTAAGCACCCATGTAAATACTATGGTATCACTTTCTCATCAGCAGGGCTTTTGTGAGTTATAGAAAGACTGAGACCAATGCCACCATTTGAGATTCCAATATGTGAAATAATAAAGACATCCCCTAACAGGATTTTTTTAATGAATTAGGCTTTATTATTTGATATTTACAGTGTTTTCTGAGAATGTTCAATATAATAGAGGTAGTATTCCAGTTATTATAGGTATTTATTTGGAAATAATCCCAAAACTCTACATTGTAGGCATGAAGATGGGGCTTGCTTCCATCTGGCCCTCCTGCTACCTTCAGCAACACGCCCCACATCCAATCCTGCTTACAGTCGAAGATGAATCTGGCATAATACAAAGAGCACTGGACCAGAAGCATGAAGTTTCTCTTATCTGTGCCTTGGTTTTCTCACGTGGAAAACAGAAATGTTGACATAAATAATCCCACAGGTCTCTGCTAGTACCATTTTGTGATTCTATATCATGCTTACCACACCTAGAAACAGGGGCCATCATTCCAGCCAGCTAACAGAGAAAAATAAGATAAATAATCAGGCTTGGGAAATACATTCCGTAGACCAAGTAAACAAAGACAACAATCTGATATAAGTATTATAACTGGGGGATGAGGGGTTGCAAATGGAGATCCACCACAGTCAACTCTACTTGAATTCCCCTGTTCTCGACAGGCAGCAGCAATCATAATGGACTTGGAGCACCAGTCCCACAACATCACAGGACATCCAGACATAATTGCATTAATACTCGCACAACTATCCGGTTATTCAGCATTGCCCAATATGTGAATAAAACTCTTAGGAAAAATTAATGCTTGCTTGATGCTTTGACACATTTCCCTTTACAAAGCAAAGATCCCTACTCCTCTCACTTTCTCACATGTAGCATTACAACTAGTCAGCATCCACATGAGTCCTTATAATTAATCAGATCTACTGAGAGGTAGGTCCAAGATGCAGGGTAAGGAGAGATCAAGCAGAAACAAAATACACAGCCATTGCTCTGTATCTTCAGGAGATTGGTTCCGGAACCCCCTTCAATGCCAAAATCTGCAGATGCTCAAGTCTCTTATGTAAGATGGTATAGTGTTTGCATATAACCTACTAATATCCTCCTGTATACTTTAAATCATCTCTAGGTCACTTACAATACTTAATACAATGTGAGTGCTATGTAAATGGTTATCATACTGTATTTTTATTTGTATTCATTTTATTGCTGTATTATTACTTCTTTTTTTTTAACAATTATTTTTAATCTGTGGTTACTCGAAGCTGCAGATGCAGAACCCAGGGATATGGAGGCCCAACTGTACTTTTACCTTATTATGTAGGCTATGCTAATATTAATGACTAGAACGTTATGTTATTTCTTCTCAGATTTCAATAACAGTTGAACCTCAGGGTCAAAGTATCAGGCACTAAATTGAAGAGAATGCTGATGATTAGGACAGGAAAGCAACTTAAGCATCTATTAGTCCAGCCTACTATGAAAAGTAGGAATTCCTTCAACAAAATTCTCACACATGCCTATCCAACTTCCCAATGATTAAAGCAATAACAACAGTAATGATAATAATAAACACATATTTCACACTTACTGTGTGCCAGACACTGTCCTAAGTATATTGAGTACTGATTGTGAATCAGCACTGTTCCTAAGACTTCATAGACACTTAACTTATTGAATCTTGAAAATGCCTCTAGGAGGCAGGATCTATTATTGCTCTTATTTGATAGATGAATCAATGGAAACAGAAAAGAGTTAACTAACTTGCCAGAGGTCACAAAGTTAGACTGAGAAGAGCTGGACAATTGCACTAAACAGACTAGCCCTGTAGCCTGTCCTGCTAATCCTATGCTACCAATAGGGGCAAAGGACAGAGACAAAGTAGGGGATTAGAATCCATTTCAACACGACTTTAATTAATAGAAAGATCTTCAGTTTTCTGAGCAAAAGCTGCCTCCTTTAGTCTTCATATTACCCACTAGTTCTAAAGAGAATAATTATTCCTTCTTCCATTTGACAGTGCTTTTTTATCAAAGATTGACAAACTATGGCTTGTAGGCCAAATCTGGCCCACCATCTGTTTTTATATGGGCCATGAGCTAAGAACGGATTTCAAGTTTTCAAATGGTTGGGAAAAATATCAAAAGAAGAATAATATTTTGTGACACATGAAAATCACATGAAATTTAAATCTCAGTGTCTATAAATGAAGTCTTATTGGAACACACTCATACTTCACTTACATATTGTCTGTGGCTGCTTTTACTTTACTATAAGGTCGGAATTAAGTACTTGAAAAAAGACCACATGGCCCAGTAAAGCCTAAAATATTTACTATCTGGCCCATTGCTAGAATGTGTGCTGATTCTTGCCTTAAATAGTAGAAGGTGGTTCTCATGTCCTTTCCTAAAATGCTCTTTTTTTATAGTAAAATACCTCAGGTCCCCCCAACCACCATCATCTCATTATCCCGGAAACTCTCCTCTGGCATTCTTTGGTGCATATTCTATCTCTCTCAAAATTCTCCTCAGTGGTATATGGCTACGATGGAATACTACTCAACAATAAAAAGGAACAAACTACAGTAGAGACACACAACGACATAATGAATCTCCAAACCACTATTCTCAGTGAAAAAGCCCTGCACGTCTTTTTCTCACTGCATAATTGTATCTACAGGAAATCCTAAAATGGGTAAAATTAATCTAGGGTGAAAAATTATATATCAAAATAATGGTTGTCTTTGGAAAAATGGGGCAAGGATTGGTGGAATGGGCATGAGAGAACAATTTGGGATGCTGGAAGCATCCCAGATCTTGAGAGTTGTTTGGGTTACATAGTTGTGTATATTTGCCAAAATCCACCAAAATGTACATAGTTTGAATATTATACTGTATCCACCTCAAAAACAAACCTTGTAAGTAAATATTGCATTCTAGTTAATGATCTGCATACTGAAAAGTTTAGTGGTAACGGTATCAAGGTGTGCAACTCATTTGAAATGTGTTGGAAAATCAAGGTGGTTGGATGATTGGGTGGAGGGAAGGACAGATGGCAAGAGATGTGAAAAAGCAAGAGAAGTAAAGTGTTCATTGTCAAAAGTGGGTGACGGATACCTGGATGTTCACTATCTAATTCTTTCACCTCCTACATTTAAGTCTTGTCACAACAAAACTTCCTTCTAAAATAACATTTTCAAAGTAAAATTTTTATGATAAATGAGACAGATAGATAAAGGTAATGTCTGGCATGAAACAAAGTACTCTAAAAGTTGCACAAAGCAACATCGTTATTTCCCTTCCTTTGTCCATTTTTATGTTAGCATTTATTTTCCTTTGATGTATCTGATTGGACCCTGAAATATCTACCTTAAACGTATCCAAAAAGACATCTTGGGTATAACCATTGGGACTAGTGATAAGAATTTATTCTATAATGAGATCTAATTCCATGGCAAGAGGCCAACTGTCATTTCTTTGTTTAAATTTTATGATAAGAGATGCATACAGTGAAAGACATAGAAACAGACCCAGTCAGATGCCTCCACCAAATCCACTTGTGGAAAACTGTAAATTCCACAAGTGAGTTTACACTCTTGTCTCATGAATGTGTAGAAAGAAGAATGCATTTGTTTGTTTGATTATAGCTGAATTTCTGCCTTTGTAACCCCACCAGTAGGTGGTCATGTATTTCTCATATTGAGGTTCACTACCACTTCACAAACAATATGCTCAACACTGTTGCAAGCATCAGATGAGTGTGTGTGCATGACAAAAATTTGAAAAAGTCCTCAAAATATGCAGCCTAATCTCTGGATTAACTGTTTCTTTAAAGGGCCTTTGCAGTGTATAATCTGCAGACTGGTTCTGTTGCTTTTATGCAATGCCAATATTATTAGTAGCAATAATACAATCACACTTCAACTATTTGGAGGTCAATTAGCTGGAAAGTTCTGCCTTCTGAATGGAAGCTAAGAAACAAGTAAGTAAGCAAGAAAAATTCTGCGGGCAGTCAAAATAGCTGCAAAAGCTTCAGGGTGCCAAGCTCATATATTTGCTCATGGGAGAGTCTCTAAAGCCAAAGCTCAAAATCCTATGATGCTTATTTATGCAAAATTCTAACAAGCCTGGGTTTTCAGCTCATAATCTAACAGAGGTCGCATATAGGCAGGCACGGTGAAAGCACCAAGAATCGGAAGAGTTATTAACCATCATTCAAAAATCAGAAAGGACTACAATTTGGGAGGAGGGAATCCAGGGGTGGAAAAGTCCACCTTAATGCTACCAAGTTAGCATTTTATAAACTATGTTCCTAAAATTATAGTTCCACAAGATATTAAAGAAGGATTTTTAAAAATAAAAAAGAGGACTGGGAATGGTGGCTCACACCTGTAATCCCAACACTTTGAGAGGCCAATGCAGGAGGATTGCCTGAGCTCAGGAGTTCTAGACCAGCCTGGATGGCATAGTGAGACCCCCTCTATACTAAAAATCAGAAAAATCAGATGGATGTGGTGGCATGCGCCTGTGATCCCAGCTAGTCAGGGAGCTGAGGTGGGAGGATCACTTGAGCCCAGGAGGTCGAGACTGCAGTGAGCCATGATCGTGCCACTGCACTCCAGCCTGGGTGACAGAGCAAGACCCTGTCTCAAAAAATTTAAAAAAGAAAATAAAAAGTTAGAGGAGGTGCTATCCTCAGATATGTTTAGAAAATACTGGTCTAATAGTGTTTCAATATTTCTATTGTGATTCTAGCAAGTTCTAGAAAGAACATTGATTTTGTGGTTGTTCTTCCTTTCCTCACTCCACATTTTTTCTTTTATTTTGGCTGAAACTTACAGATTTTTCTTTTTTTTTTCTCCTCATCATAATGATGTTCATCAGTCTGCCTGAATCTTCTGGTCTGGGTGTGGCTCTGACTTTTCAAACACCCTTCTTAAGCAGGTGTTTCCTCTCCTATCCCAAACATTATATTCCTTTTAGTTTGTGTTGTACAGATTCCAGGCCACATTTCTACTTTTTGAGGACAGCTTCCAAATCATCCACATGTTCACTTTCTTTTCCACTTCCCTCAGTTTTCACTTCCTACTTCCTTTCCCCATCTTTTTCCTCTCCAGATTGTATGCCAGGCATTCTTTGCCCATACTCTGCTTTGAAATCCTTCCTGCATTTCCTGTCTATCTCATAGCTTTGCAATTTTTGCTACTCTTGCTCCCTTCCTGCATATTTCTTTCATATCATGAATCCCAACTACCTCTCCTCTCCTGCCAAATCGAATGCATCAGCTGAAAGTCACCTGAAAATCCCCCTTCTCTTCCCATCTGTGCAACCCCACCAGTTGACCTTCAACATGCATTTCTCCTAAGTGAACCCACCAGCATGCATGGGGAAAAGGGATATTAGTTCATTCCTCTTCCCTGGCAACCCTTGAGTATAGGACTATGAGCCCCCCTGACAAATAATGTCCTCCATGCCATGCCATCAACATTGGATTTTGAGTCAGTAGAACTGTGTTCCATCTGAAACTCTGCCTCTTATTTACTTGGCTCAGTCACTTAATTTTTTTGAACCTCAGTTTTCACATCTATAAAAGGGCAGTAAGCCCTGATTTATCCCACGGGGTTGAGTGGAGCCAATGAGGCCATGTTTGTGCAAGCTCTTCACCAGGTGGTAGATGTGACAATTTTATTCTTTCACTTGAAAATTTCATTTATATTTGAAGCCCTGGGAGTAGAGTTTCATTCTCTTTTTTTATCTTCCTAGAGATGAGGTCTCATTTTGTCACCCAGGCTGGAGTGCAGTGGTGTGATGACTACAGTCTTGACCTCCTGGGCTCAAGAGATCCTCCAGCCTAAGCTTCCCAAGTAGCTGAGACTACAGGCTCACACCACCATTTCTGGCTCATTCTCTTTAACAGTCTCAAATTCTTCCGGTTCTACCAGTTTTTCATTTATTCTTTACATATACCAACTGAATTCTCCAGTTTGATCAGATCACAGACTTGGCTGTACTAATAGCAAAGTGGTTAAGTGCATGATCACCATTCTCCACATTCTGGCTGAAAACTTGACTCCATCATTTAGCAGGTGCAGGACATTGGGAAAGTCCACTTATCCTGGACTTCCTGTTTCCTTATCTTTTGTTTTTTTTTTTTTTTTGGTTTTTTTTTTGTTTTGTTTTGTTTTTTTTTTTTTGAGGCAGCGTTTCACTGTTGTTGCCCAGGGTGGATTGCAATGACAATCTCCACTCATTGCAACCTCCGCCTCCCAGGTTCAAGCGATTCTCCTGCCTCAGCCTCCCGAGTAGCTGGGATTACAGACATGCGCCACCACCTCCAGCTAATTTTGTATTGTTAGTAGAGACGGAGTTTCTCCATATTGGTCAGGTTGGTCTCGAACTCCTGACCTCAGGTGATCCACCTGTCTCGGCCTCCCAAAGTGCTGAGATTACAGGTGTGAGCCACCACGCCCAGCCCCTTGTCTTTAAAATGGGGCGACTTCTGTAGTGAGTATGGCCACTAAGGAAGGTCATTGTGATGATTATGAGTCCAAAGGAGTGAGATCTTAGCCCACATGGTTATTAGCCCTGCCTCTCTGCCCCTGCCTCGGTTTTCTTCCTTGGTTCCTCCATTCTCCATCTCTTGCTCTTGTCTGTCTCTTCCTGTCACCCCACGGTGGTGCAAGCTGGTGCTCCCTGCACATCCAGTAAAATCTCAGGGGAAAAGTTCAGCCTTTGCAGCCTCCCGAGGGGCTGTTCTCCTTGGGCTGCTGCTGGCTTTGTGGCTCCTCCTTCCTCCCCTGGATTCTTTCCTGGCATCCTCCCGTGTTTTCACTGTCTTTCTGATTAGAGAGTATGTCAGTGGGACGGGATAATTTACTGATATATTAATTTGTGTTTTTATCTCAGCATTTGCCCTCTGCTCTACAAAGGAAGCCAGGCCTCTGTTTTCCCCTGCCTCGAGGGAGGTTTGTTGTAAAAGTCCAAAGCCAAGACACCTGGCTTTTGTTTCCTCAAAGCTCAAGCTGTGGGAGGAGATAATGCCAGCAGGGAGGAAGAGGGGAGAAGCTCGGGCCTTGGAGAGGAGGGAGAGAGTCAGGGAGACAGAGAGAGATTTTGATAGATAGAAAGGGGGCGAAGGCCAGAGAAGCAGGCCACTTACAGAGACAGGCCCCTAGTGGCTACCTCTCAGTGAGGATGGCTGTCAGGTGAGCGTGGACCACTGGCCCCTAAGCGCAGACTGACAGATGCAGCAAACGCTCCAGCCAATGTTCCCAGCACCCAACACACTTGCGGGCAGCAGAGCCACAAGAGGGAAGCTCAGGTATGTAGGGACAGTGGCAAGCAGAAGAGACAGGGACAGCTAAAACTATAAATCAGAACGTCTAATGTTTGCTGCCCACTCGGAATGTGCTAAGCACCATTCTAGGATCTTGGCAAATATTAGAATGGTCACTCCTCAAGACAACCCTCCATCCCCACATTCACAGCAGAGGAAACAGGAACACAGAAGTAAATTTTCCAAGATCACAGAACTGGGACATGGTAAAGCCAGATACATAGAAATATTGAGAGCCCACCAATTTATTGCAAAATGCTAAGAATGAAATACTGCATAGGCCAGAAAATAATACAGAAACTGAAAACACAGACCCCTCTGAGTGCCACTGGAAGCGAAACCACAGCAAGGCCTGGACTCTTTCTAGGCTTCACTAGCTCTGTAACTGATGTTCAATTGTATTTTGATCATGGAAATATTATCTTTCTTCAGATAAATCAGAGGTGTGTATGTTCAGAGCATAAGGAATAGCCTGGAATTCCCCAGTTCCCCTTTCAGTTTTCTGGCTTCCTAATTTACCCTGTGAACACTACCTGACCTTGCTACTTCCTATTTACTTTTCTCATCTGTAAAATGGGTATAAGGAATCACCTAGGCTAGCATTTATGATCACTGAGGACCTGTTCCATAATTAGGAGCTGCTATTATCATTGTCATCCCCATGTCCAGTCCTGCTTAGTCCTACAGCCTACCCAGCACCTAGGCTGCCTTTACTGAGTATCTCTGTAGGTCAGACACAGTGCTGGGTGCTGAGTCCTGTCTCTGAATGCATTCCCCGTCTGGTTGGAGGAGAGACCCATGAGAAGATCTTTAGTGCAATATGATAAGTGCTACAAATAGAATAATCCCAGTATCCCACAGGGGCCTAGGATGAGGCCCCTAGCCACACTGCAGGCTGGGAATGAGGGCAGATTTCCTGAAGAAGTTAATGGCCCGAGTCTTCACAAACAACAGTAACCTCCACTGCCTCACAGTGGGGAGTGGGCCAGAGCCTCCCCCCTCCCTCTTCCAGTCCTCAAAAATGGCTCCTGAGCCTGAA